TTGAAAAGAGAAGAGAGGCCAAGGAATTTGGCTTAGTCAGTGGTACCAGCCACCATATCAGGTGAGGACCCAATCCTACTGGAGTCAGACTGCCAGGCTTCTCTGTGCCAGCCAGCTAGCCCTCAGCAAATTTGGTAGGCACCTCTGACTGCCCACCTGGCTCAGAGGGACCAGAAAGTATACCTTCCTCATGACTGAGCCGTCTTCCCCCAGCACTTCCCTGTTTAAGCTCTGCACTCCTATTTCCAGCAGCTATTTTGGGGGCAAAAAAGATGCATGTTGTATTGAATAAATGCAGTGCTCCCCACTCCACTCCCCCCCCCCTTGCACTCTCTTCTGTGCCTCTGAAGAGAGAGGCCTCTACAACAACACTCAAATTCTGCTTTTGAGGATTTTGAGTACTGTGGAGTCATGTTGCATATCATTTTTGCTGCTACCATTTGACTTCTGCACTTGTATATAATGGAGAACCTTCCAACCCACAGAATTCTTACTAACAAACATGGCTTACCACAGGTAACCTCTGTCAAGTTATAGTGCCAAGCAAAACCATCCTTTGATTTATTTTGTGCTTAAATTGGCTGAAGTTGTCCTTGGCTTGAGTGCAAGTGGTTTGTAACAAATGTAGCACTAAGAATAGAACTCAAGTAGTTTGGAGGTCAGTTGAAATTGTAGGGGAAAGGAGGCACAATGTATTCTGCACCAGGAATTCCCAACCTTGCCCCCAGTGTAGAACCTCCACCCCATTCATGAACCTCCTGCAACTTTTAGAGCTTTGCATTCACACCTGGCTTCTGAAAAGTGAGAATCTTTCTACTCCCAGGAGAAGTGATAGCTATTTGTGGATTTCCAGAGTTTTAATACATACCCAGGAGATGGGAAGAGGACTCTATTATTCTTTGTTATTCACGTGACTCACTGGACATTTCTTCCACCAGAGCTAGAAGGCATGCACTGATTTAGAAATGAGTATACAAACCAATTAGTGTGAAACAGAAGAAGATGAGACAACCAAACCTTTGTGAATTATTCCATTTATGATGTCCCTGTGGGTCAGATTTTTGGGTTCTGCAAAAATTAACTAGCAGTCTTCAGAAATAGCTGCTTTAGGCTTGCAGTTAAAGAGAGGTAAAATCTTTTCATAGATTCATAGATGTTAGGGGCTGGAAAAGAGCTCACAAGATCATTGGGTCCAGCCCCCCTGCACTTGGGCAGGAAAGACTGCTGGGGTCAGATTACCCCACCAAAGTGAGCATCAAGACACTTTTTGAAGATCGCCAGGATGGGTGACTGTACCATCTCTGGGGCAGGGAGTCTGTTCCACACCCTCAGCACTTGACTTGTAAATACGTTTTTCCTTATGTCCAATCTGAAGTGATCTGCAGTCAGTTTGTGCCTGTTGTTTCTTGTCTTCCCCTGGGGGGCCTAGGTGAACAGATGTTCCCCCAGGCCCTGATGTATGCCGCTAATATACTTATAGGCTGCAATTAAGTCACCTCTGAGTCTTCTCCAGGCCGAACAGTCCCAAGTCTTTCAGCCTCTCCTCGTATGACCTCCTGTCTCTTAGCTGTTGTTAACCTTTGTAGGGGAAGAATTCATGTCTGTCTAATGTGAACTAGATTAGAGGAAATACTAAATATGTGCAACTGACCTAGAACTTCCTCTGCTCTCAGTGATTACAGTGGGATACCTGCTACAGACATAGTGTACTTACTCTAATCCCCAACAAGTGTACTTACTCTAATCCCCACCTAGGGTGGCCATAGGTCCTGTTTTATATCAGACCAGCCTTTTTTTTTTTTTTTTTTAAACTCTTTATTCCCTGTCCATTTCTAAATGAGGAATGGACTGCAAAAATTCTGTATTTTAGTTAATTGGTGGAAATACATGTCAGTCATTTGTCCTTGCAATTCTATTGGCTGTGTCTAGAGGTATAGTGGTACACAGCCAGGAAGAACAGGGTTCCAAGCCAACCAGGGAGGGAGGGAGAGAGTTGGTCTTTTTGTAATGGTCCCACCCCTTACTGCTGATTGGCCAAGGGTCATGGTGGTTCCACTGCTCATTTCTGATTGGTTGAGGAGGTGGCAGCCCTGCCCCTCACCACTGATTGGCCATAGGAGCCAGTAGGACCCCCCCCCCCCCCCCCACCAAGGGGATTCAAAGCAACCTCTGCTTAGTGCTCTTAATTGGTTCCAGAAAAACCAAGGGTTAAGTGAAACACTGCAAAGTGAAATCCATTTGCCCATACAAATGAATGTAAATATAGGTAATTGGTTGGTGCCACTTCTCACCCCATGTGCTGGGTGCCCTGCTCTGGGCATGGGCCCCTGCCAGTCCTGGCCCCAGGCCCCGCACTCTTGCTGCCCCACCCTGGGTGCAGGACCCACAGGCCCCGCACTCCTCCCCATCTCCAATGCTTTAAGTGGTGAACTCAGGTGGTGGAGCATCCCACAGGAGCAGGGTGGATTTTTGCAGCCGGCTGGGATTTTTGCAGCCGGCTGGTAGTAGTCCCCACTACGTGCCTGGCCAGCTGTAAACCCCACCCCGCTCCTGGCTGGCTCTACTGCCCCACCAGTCTGTATTCACCAGCCGTGCCTGGCTTCTCCCCACCCCCCATTCTCATACCCACGCCCCCACTCACTGCCACTCACCACACTTGCTGCTGCCGCCGCCACCGCTGCTTCTCCCCACCTTCCTGCCAAAACTTGCTGATTCCACTGAGCACTATAGCAAAACTTGCTGAGCGCTCAGTGAAACCAGGTATCAATTTTAAATGAGTGCTGTAGAGAAATAGCACGAATCAAAACGCGTTAAACAGGGGCTGCCTGTATCCTGTATTTTGGGAATGCATAAGTAGCCATCCTAGCTTCACCTCTGCCCTGCCCTGCCCTGTGCCTCCCCCCGCCCCCTACCCTTAACTGCAGCTCCAGCCCAGAACACGGAGCATATGCTGGCTCCTGCCCAGCAGCAGTGGTGGCAGCTCCAGTTTCAGCTTCAGCTCCAGCTCCATCACAATCCTAGGGCTGCTGCCATTACAGCTGCCACAACCTGTCTGGGTAGAGGCTGTGTGTTCTGTGTCTTGGGCCAGAGCTGGAGCTGCAACGGAGGGTAAGCAGCAGTGGAGGGAAAGGGGCAGGCAGGTGGGGAGAAGTGGCAGGGGGAAAATAGTGTACGAGGCAACACGGAGGTACATGCTGTGGGGCAGAGGTGGACAGGCAGCAGGGTATGAGGTACAGGAGGAAAGAGGCAGCAGTCAGGCTGCTTGACTCCCTCACTCCCTGCCTCCTTACTGCTACTTTCTTTGCTGCAACGATGTAGAGGACAAATTCACAAATTTTCCATGTATAGAATCTAATTATGGGGGGTTGTCTTAAATTCAGAGTAGTCTTGGATCCTGGTCTGTATTTTATATGCACTGTCATTAGGCTTCGGTTTCCCCTTGGCATCAGCCACAAAACATTGCAATTCTTTTTTAAATTACAATTTGACCAAACTTGTCTGTTAACGTTCACCTTATGTAGAAAGGAATGAAATCTAAAGTGTTTCAGTGAAGCCAAAGAGATCAAGAGGTTATGGGCAAAGATCAGGAAGTTACGATTTGTGTATGTGATAGCTAAATGGGCCTCTGGCCACTTGATTTCAAGACTAAAAATTACTCCTAAATGCCATTACTGCAGTGTTTCACTTGAAATATTAATTCTGCTAATTGCTAATCCTGTTTTTCCCCTTTTGTTTTCCTTCTTCCTTTAGCATGAAAGACTTTCCAGGTAAGAGTTTTCCCTTACATACTTTCTAATTAATATGTATAAACAAGATGCATGTATGTTGCCTCCTGGTTTCACAGTACATAAAATGAGTAGCATAAACTGCTTATCCGTTGATTTGATTGATAGGCCATCTTCCTCCACCCTCTCCCTGCCCCTACCCCCTCCAAGGCTCAGAGTGGCTTCTTACATTAAAAGCCAAAATACGTTATGAAAACAGAGTAAGATATGAAAAGAAGATAGTATAGCAAAACAAGCTCACATGCACACATTATCCAAAAGTTCAAAACCAATCCACCCCACTCACTTCTGCTTCCCTGCCTCTAACCTAAATCAGTGTCTTCCTCCTTCTTTCCCTCCCACCCCCACAACCCAGCCTGACTCAACTCAGCTCAGGCTTCCCAGGTCCCACTCATTACCTCCATAAAAAATAAATTTGGAGGTGCACCTTAGACCAAACCTTGATTCCAAAGCAGGTTGCCCAGGGTAAGGTTCTTGCCTCAAGTGAACTTCCGAGTCACTTTTATTCTCTTGAAGTCACTGATTATTCAGCTTATTTAAGGGAAATAAACCATTTCTTTCCCTGTTACCTGTCTGTTTGTTTGGTAGTCCTTCCAGATCATGTGTGTATGTGTGAGAGGTCACCCAGTGGAGGATGCCTAGATCCCCATTAGCTGGGCGAGTGGGGAATCCACCCTATCATCCGGACAGAACCATAACTTCAAGGAAAAGATTGGAAGCAGGTGCTGCCCTGGAGAGGCTGGGCCCAATTACCACTGCTCTGAGTTTTTCTAAAAATTAGGTGGCCAGTTGGCCTTCATCAGTCAGAGATTCCTCATGTGAACTTCATTTTAAACTGTTTGCTTTGAGAGACCCTGAATACTATCAGCAACACTTGAATAATGATTTCTTTGAGCGGTCTGGCAGGTATTTTTCCAGAAGGCTTGAGCCCTGACCAGTCACGTTCATACTGACAGCATTTCAAGTGTTCTCAGACTGTTCTTTAAGTGTCAGCCCTTATGTGTTTAGGTTGGAATTGGCAGGTACGAACCCTACCACCAGTGACTCCTACAGCGATCGTGCCTCCAGCCGCTCCAGTGCCTACACCCGGAGAGAGAACCGATTGGCCTCTCTCAGTGCCAGAACAGAGGACGAGAGTAACAGGGACTATAAAAAGGTAGGGCTGCTTTAGTTGTGCTGTTTTACACTACAACTGCCTATTCTAGTTGTAGCCTTCTGTCAGAAACCTGGGTTTTAACAAGAGGAGCTGAGAAGGAACAAAAAAGGGCAGATGTTTTCAGCAATGGCCTATTCAACAGCCCTTCTGTTTGCAAGGGGATCCTGCTTTAAGCTGAGCTTCTTTCTCTTGAATTCACTCTGTACTAGAATCGCGGAAAGCTTGTTCAAGTGCATCACTTCGCTGTTCTTTACAGCCCTGAAGAAGGAGCAAGAAAATCAAGGAAAGCTGTGAAAGTGAAATATGTAGGAATGGAGGGTTAGGGATGCAAACAGACTGAAAATGTGCTCTGGCCTGAGTGAGTTTGCTTTTTTTTTAAATGACGTGTGTATGTGTGTACTTCATCTATACTTCTCAAATGGCAGACACTGCTGTTTAACATGCAGCTATTGCCTTTTGGGCAAGGCTTGCTTGGCGTTATCACTTGATAATATTTGCTTAGTGTTTGTAACCAGTTGATTTTCATGATGTACCTCATCTGTTTTGAATTTGCATGAGTATGAAACCTAAGCTGTTTTTATGGGGAGGAGCAGACATGGGAAATGTAGATGAAGAATAGCACTACATAAGAAAAGATATCCTTGCGAGTCACAGTGCCCTCTTCAATTTACATTTTTCCCATGTTTGATTTAATCCTTGAAAAAATTAATATTAAAGGATAAAATGAGTCTTAATATGCTCCCAGATTGCACACATGCATAGAAGAGCAGCAAAACTATATGAAAGGTAAATGGATAGAATTATCTTAATTTCCCTACGGGTTTACTACTGAGAGGTACTTCATCCTAGTTTTATAAATATGCAGCTGTATAAGAGAAATCCATCCAGGTTATTAATGGGAATGTCCTAAAGAGCCAGTCAATATTCAGGACTCATAGTATTCCAGCACTGTTTGCCTAAATGCAGTTGCCATGTCTCTCTGAAACAGAAAACCTCAGTGGATTTAGGAATTGAATGGGAGCGCCATTTTTTTTTCTCTCTCTGGTGGTAGCAACAGCAGAACAAGCCCACCTGGTCTGGTGCACCCTGTACAAGCTACCCATTGCTAAGAAGACTTGTGACCTCCCATGGTAGCTGCTGCATGGGGCCCTGGCCATAGGCACTTTTGTCTGCCACTTAGACCCAGCGGCATTGTTGGCCTGTCCTTTCTGAAGGAGGAGGACACTCTTTTTCATGCCTTCCTGGACTGCCTCTGCCTGCTGCTGCTCTTTGCTGCACTCAGCATCCTCTTTGGCATGCTAGACATGAACTTCTCTAAGACTGTGTGCATCTTTATCCTGTACCAAGTATCCAAGAGGAGCATGATCTGCCTGACCAACTTCCTTTCTTGTTAGGTCAGGCCAAGATGGCGACTCTGAAAAGCTTCAGAAACTTGTTTACAGGGACCAGCTTTGATGATGCCCTCCAACTCTTGCACTTCTTGGTCTAGGCACACGTTACCTTTTGAATTTGGACTCTTCATCTTGCAACCAAATGTGAAGCAGTTTGCATAATACTGGCCGTCGAGGGGGGCCTTTGCAAGGTGGAAGATGGATAGCTGGTTCTACATGTGTAACCCAATGAGAGGCCTTGGGGAGAGGGCTTCAATGTCTGGTGACATGGGTTTTTATTTTGGGGGGGGTATTTTTGGTTTTTAGTTTATTTTTGCTGACAGGTGTTTGATGCTTGGCCCCAGGGGCCCACAATTTGCATTTTCACAATTTGTTTCTAATACTTGTATAATAAAGGTTTAACAAGTCAAAATTCTCTTCTTGCTGTGGCTCTCCTCTCTGTCACGGTCTCAGCCTCTCCCCCAGAAGCCTCATTGCTTCTCTGGTTGCACACTGTCAAGCTGACTCACCTCTTAAACTCAGCCTGGTCTATCTAGCTCTTGGCCAAAGCCCCAGCTGACCAGCTGGGCCTGCACTCTGTCCCCTTGGCTGAAGTGAAAACTTCCCTCCCTGCATGTTGCCCTAGAAGACTTGTTGTCCTAAAAGACCATCTCAGCACATGACAAGTCCTCTTCAGTGACAACTTGCTCTATCACTGTCTGTTTCTCTGGCCGTGCACAGGTGAACCCAGCATTCTGCTGTCCCTCCCTGTGCCCAGCAAGAACAGTGAAGGGATCTGCCTTGAGATCTTATCTGAGAAGACACTGTACACATGGGCAGTCAAAGTACATCAGGCCCATGTCCTCACAGCCTGCCCTGATGTGACTTGGAGGCAGCACCTACTGACAGTAATACCAAAGCAAACCTCCCCAGCCTGAGGCACCCTGTACAAGTTGCCCATTGCTAAGAGAACTGGTGACTTCCAGTGGTAGCTGCTGCTTGGGGCCTTGGCCATGGACACTTACGTTCACCACTTAAACCTGGCAGCATTGGTGGGCTGCTCTTTCTGTGAGGAGGAGGTAGAAGAGATGCTCTTCTATGCCTTCCTGGACTGCCCCCACCTGCTGCCACTCTTTGCTGCCTTCAGCATCCTCTTTGGCACACTGGACTTGAACTTATATGAGACTGTACATCATCTTTATCCCATACCAAGTAGCCAAGAGGAGCATGATCTGCCTGGTCAACTTGCTGCTGGGCAAGGACAAGATGGTGACTCTGAAAAGCTTCAGAAACTTGCTTACAGGGGCCATCCCTCCAACTCTTCCACCTCCTGGTCCAGATGCATGCTATCATTTGAATTTGGACTCTTCATCTTGCAACCAACTTGAAGCATTTTGCATCATGCTGGCCCTCGAAAGGACCCTCTGCAAGATGGAAGATGGACATCTCCATGTATAACCCCATGAGAGGCCTGGGGGAGAGGTTCCAACCTCTGGTGACATGGTATTTTTGTCACCGACAAGCATTTTTCATGTGGGACCTTTGGGAATTCCACACACTTTGCACTTTCACCATTTGTTTTTAATATTTGTGTAATAAAACGTAAAAAAAATCAAAAGTCTCTCTCTCTCTCTCTCTCTCTCTCTCTCTCTCTCTCTCTCTCTCTCTCTCCCCCTCTCCCTTCTGTCTCTGTCTGTCTCTCCCCTCTGTCTCCTTTGACTCTCTGCCCTTTTTCTCCTCTTTTGAAATGAAAGTGTACATGCTCAGTTAGGTTATATTGGGTGAACTCAATAGTTACAGCTTTAGGTATGTTCAGTGAGCTCACTGAAATGGTCTGTTGAAACTATGTATTTTACTATGGTGAGTAGGTTACTTGATGTAAAATTGTTCCCTTTCATTTGTCCATTGGCTGTGGCTTTAAAACTGCAACATTTGTGAAGGATTTTTCAGTGTGATCATCTCCTTTAAGGAGCCATGGGCAGAGAAACTGAGCCCCTTTGTCCCTCTTCAGAATATACTGGATTGCTTGCAGGAGTTGGTCCCTAGCCCTAAATAATGATAGCTGCAGGTTTTAAAGCAACATGTATGTTTGTCTGTGTGTATACATGCACAAACATATGGCCTGAAGCTGTGACTGTTAGACTGAGGCTCTTGTCGTAATTCTAGAGCAGTCTCATTGACTTGTGTATCTTGTTTCCTGCTTCAGCTCTATGAAAGTGCCCTGTCTGAAAACCAGAAGTTGAAATCAAAACTGCAGGAAGCCCAGTTGGAGCTGGCTGATATCAAATCAAAACTGGAAAAAGCAACCCAGGTGAGGAGAAAAGCAGCCCAAGGAATGGTGAGATAAAGATGGAGGAATGGGTATCAGTTCATGACCCTGAGGGAAGAGCCAGTGTACTTTCTGTAAAGGAACATAGTACTTTGCTGTCATACGGTTTGGATTCTGTAGAAAGATGTAGTAGAAGGGCAAAGTATGATTGTGTCTAGATTAGTTACTATGTCAAACCTGTCTGTGGAGCACCCCCAGGGCCCTGAGTTTCTACCCACTGTCGCACTGCTTGTCCGAAGGATCAGACTGAGGTTGCTCTGGGATAACTCCTTATCTCTGCAAGCCACAGTTCAGCTGCCCTTATGCTGGACCTGCTGCAGAAAGGGAATCTGCCAGCTCTAGGTGGCCTCCCCTTTGGGTTGGGAAAGAAATTTTAGGTGCCCCTTTCCCTAGAATGGGGGAATGTCACTTACCCAGAGATAAGATTTGCTCTCTCCACAGGCAGCTATTAAGGAGACAAAGCAACAGAAGGATTTATTATGTAGGACAAAAGAATTATATAAGCAAAATTGACCATACATTTACAGACAGAAAAACAAGACAACTAACCTCTTGTCTGGCTATACCCTAGCTCTCCCGAGAGGTCTGCCAGTATCATCAGAAGTCAGGCTTCCTGCTGATTGTGCCAGCTCTGGCTGCTGAGGCTTTGGACCCTTCTCCACCTAAGGGGGGTGCACAGGAGGAAAGAATCCAAGGACCCATGACTATGATAACTTAAAAAAAACAAACCCCCCCCAGTCAGCCCCTTCCCCCATCCATCAATCTTATTGTGATTGCTCATGAATCACCAGACTCCTCCAGAAATGTCTGGTCTCCTAGAGAAAGCTGGAATTCTTCTGGCTGATGGGCCATTTCTCTCAGATGCCTTTTCTATAGAGGATTTAGTTTCTTCATTATTGGAAGACCATGCCTTGGGTGCCCAACTCAGTAACATCTCCTTCTGCCTATCTGGGAGCTCCTTCTGCCAGTCTGGGAGTGGCAATTGTCCTTAAGTATGCATGCCATAGTCCCTTGGCTAAACCATGTCCAAAATTATAAAGATATGCATAGACAGCATAACATCTGTACAGTGATAAAAGCAGTGTAAATGGATACAGCATAATGCAGGCTTTCCAACAAGACCACACCTGCCGTATCAGTACAACAAAACACAAGAAAATGTTTATGGCAGCCCATGTGCCCCGGGGGTAGAGCTTGTGACAAACTGTTGTGTCAAGACATCTTTCTTTCCAGGCAAGTGGGTATGGAGACTCTCCATGTTCCCCTCTTGCTTTCTCCTATGCTTGCTGCTCTATTTTAATAAGTTTCTATTTTTAACTTAAATAGCAGAAACAGGAAAAAACCTCTGACCGATCGAGTATGATGGAGATGGAGAAAAGGGTACGTATCTACTTTTTTCTCAATCCTGTTCTCTGATTCCTAAGCCTCTGAGGATGTATTCTATTATTATCTGGAAAGAAAGTATTTAATTAAATATTTCACAACTGCTCCAGGAAGCTGAATTTGTAATATTTGAGTTTTGATCTTTTTGGCTTCCCAAACGGTGTAAAACCATAGTGCAGTTTCTTTTACCTTGTCACAAGATGCTGCAGAGCCACAAATCTCTTTTTGTGGTGCTGAAGGGTTATCGGCTCATTGTGCAATTGTTTCCATGCCCTCCTAGTTAACAAAAAAACCTATCTCAGCAAAAAATCCTTTCCAGTCAAGTTGGTATTGCCTTATTATACCTTGAAATATGAACCTGTAAGCTCTTCCTTTCTGAGCAGTCAAATTCATTGTAGCAGATCAGACTTGAATTGCAAGTCTTGTCTAAATTGTAACCTTTAAACCTTTTGTTTAAACTGTTTCATAAATTAGATTTTGTGAGCTTCTGCTGCTTGTGAGAACTGTATGTTTAAATCCAGTTCCAGAAGTAAAAAACCTGAATTACTTGCATTAAAACACATGCCAGAGTCTGTCACCTCTCTTTCAAAGAAGATCTCATTTAGGCACACTTAAGTTTGGTCCGTAACAAAATTTGATTTCTCCTTGGCCTGCAGCTTGTCCCATCAGATCTGTCCTGTGAGGAGGGTGAGCCTTGAATCATGGGTTTGGAAAGAACCTCAAAGGTCATCCAACCCACTGCCTCCTCCCTACACCCTCACAGATGCTGCTAGATGGACAGTCCTTTGCTATCCCAGATCTCTTCTCACAAACCTGTGATGGAGATTTCACCGCATCCTTAACCAGCATGTCCCATTTCCTATTATTTGTATAGTTAGGAGGTTATGATTTCTTTTTTCTCTCTGACATGCAATCTAAGCTTAGTTAATAATAGGTTAAGATTTCTTTAGTAAATATGTAGATACAGCAAGTAGTGGTGTGAGAAAGCTCAAGTCAGCTCTTCAGAAAGAAGCCTTAAAAATTGTGTTCATCCCATGGTGCAAGTTAATTCAAGAAGTATAGTCTTCTGGCTCCCTGAAGTCCCCCTGTGACTTCAATTGTACATACTGCATGTCAGTTTAACAGTTGACACATTCTGTCCCAGTGATGCCATTTATTTATGCCATTTATAAAATGTATTTGAATGCTTTCCTATGAGTGTGTCTATAGAAATATAAAGTACTATTTTCCTTCAGAGAGAAAAAAGGTTTTTTTCTTTAACCTGTTGCATGATCATTGGTATTTTTTTTAATGGTTTCTAAACAGGAGAAGCGAGCCCTTGAGCGGAGACTCTCTGAAATGGAGGAGGAGGTGAAGGTATGGAAGAATTTGCTTCCTTTGTTATTCCCTTTTGTGCTTTTTGTTAATGAATATAAGAGTTGCCGTGCAATAAAGGCATACTAATGCTGCATATTGCATTGGAGGAGGTGCACAGATGACTTTCTGTGTGTGTCCCTTTAAGCTATCATGTTGTATTAATGCCCATGTTCTCAGAACATGGGACATTAATAACTGCTAAATTATTGCTCAGTTGATTCTTTTACATATGGGGACTCTGCTGTTTTGATCCCATAACATTAAAGGCTAACCCCGAGTACTTCTGAAACTAAGCTCTTGTGGTATCAGAGGTGAGCTTTTGTGTGTTGATCCCGTGTTCTCTGATGCAGTAATGCAGGCTAAAGTTAGGCCCTTGATGTTTTGCCCTTTGGTCCAGAAAGTAACAGGACTTTCTCAGAGAGGTGTGTATGCTTTTTTTTGCCAAGCCAGAATCAGCAGCTGGGAGGGGAGAAGGGGGAGAGAATTTCAATGACATCACTTCTGCCCTTTCTTCCTAAAGCAAGTTGCTAGAAAGCTGTTTCAATGAGTCTTCCTAGAATAGAATTGCAGAAAGAGAATTTTGTTCTCTCTCATCCCACTTGGCAGCTACAAGGATGCTCAGCAGCATGTGCCCTATCAGAACTGGAGGTTTCCTCCTCCACCCACTCATTTGTTCTGCTACTTCTGTTTTCAGTCAGTAACTTTGAAGGACAGTTATCCCCACATTGTCATGGCTCAGAAGGCTGTGAGTGCTGATCTGTCAGGTACCACTGCTGAGTCAGCTGGGGAGGCAGCATGTTGTGCTGCCTTTGCTAACCTAACACTTTAAACTGATTTTTGCAGTGCTACCTCATCTTATGCAAACACTAATGCTCATGTTTGCAAAATGCACCTCTTTATTCCCTCTCCACATGGGTTCTTTCCTATTGAATGCCATCCAAGTGGGACTTAGTTTTATCACTTTAAACGGAAAAGGGGATTCTCTATTTTGGGGCTGAGAGCTGCTGACCCTATAACCTAGCACAGCAATGACGAAAGCTATTTCCTGCTTTCCTGTAGATGGTTCCAATTTTGTGAGTCTGTTGAAATTAAGCTTCGCAGCTTTACTGAGCATAATTAGCCGTGAAGTGTTTTACAACTGCTTAGGCTGAAACTAACATGCCTTTTTCCTTTATCCTCTGAAGGCAGGGGTTGGGAGTTATGGTGCTAGCGGCAGGGAAGATAAGTGTCCCAAAGATGCCACATTAGAACACTGTCACATCTGCACGTTGACAAAAAGTCAGACACCCCAATGAGGAGCATGGATGTGTAGTGTAAGCACTAAAACAGAATAGGTCAAATGCAGAACCCCCAATTTAAGTATTCATTCCAGATAAATCATCTGTTCTGGGTGGACTTAATTCATTCTGAAAGAGGGGTTATCAAAGTGTGACCCACAGGCAAAATGGGATCCACAAGCCCCTTGGATGTGGCCCATTGCCCAGGACTGTCCCTTTTGAAGTAGCTCAACTTTGGGAACTCTTGATCTAAAAGATCTTCAAATATTAGTCTGCTGAAAAATAAAACATACACACTTATGAACTAGAATGAGAATGGAGGGGGAAAGATTGGATGTGCTTATTAAAAATGCTATACATATTCAGCATAGTAATGAAGATTTCATGCTAAAGAAACCATTTGTGTTTATTGTTTTGTTCTGTTTGATTAACTGCTTTCCTGTAATTTTACAGCAACAGTGTTGGCATTACAAATGTGTTCATTTTTTCTTTAGGAAAAAGCAGTTCTTTAGCAACTTGGAGTGTATTAGGGCCAACTAAACCCATAAACAGGAAAATTCACACCCTGTATTGGGCCTGCCAGTTTTGTGTGCTTTAGCGCATCATGCTGCTGTTGACATTTAGGCTTTACAACAACTGTTTTAACCATTCCAAGCTTCACGTCTGCTCCTCCCTGGAAAACCAGTTGGTGACCTTGTGTTAACAGAACATATAAATGCTGACTCTGAAAGGATCTTTACTGTGGTGCCATTGTGCTTCAACTTGTTATTCATAAGGAAACTTCTTAAGAATGCTGTCAGCACTTAGATGAGCTGTAGCATATTTCTTTGCTGTCAGCCACTTATTAAAAGAAGGTTTAAAATGCTGAGCTAGACATTTTTAAATAAGGCAATGTTTGCAAGCACTTGAGACTTAGCAAGGCTATTTGATACCAGCATAATATTTTGCCTTAAAGGGAGAGAATCAGTGCTTACTGACCTTGGAAATTATGTTTGTGATACAAAAAGTATGTTGTTATGACTTACGTGACTGTGTCTCACTGCTGCCAACTCCTGTAACTCCATTTCTTTGCTAGTCCTGTGCACTCCCACCATTTTAGCCTACTGAACTCAGACTGTGCAAAATCATAAAGAATAAGGGGTGTATAGTCCTCCCTCCTGCTCTTGCATCAGATAGGAGACCAACCCCAAGCATAGTGACTTGAAAAGACTTCACCCCCTTGCAACAGACTCCCTAGGGATGTAAGGGCTGAGATGGCAGTTAGACAAACTGCCTGGGATATATGATGGAAAGCTTTTTTTTTCCTCCCATTCTTTGCTTAGGATCATTGGATTTTCCTTCTCTGTTTCATAGGATTAACCTGATGCTAATGACATACCTCCCCCATCCCCTGCCAAAAAAATAAAAAATAAGGGGTGGGGGATGACATTAAAAAGAAAAAAAGTGTGCAAAGAATTGTACATATATACTTCCTCTTGCTGCAGTGGCAGAGTAATATGAAATTTTACTCACTAAATCTTAAAACAGAGCTGAGCTCGTTGAGGGTCCAGGAACCTGCTTAGTAAACAAAGAAAAATTGTGTTTTTAGAACTGAATTTAGTACAAAACTCCTTTGTTATCCCAATCTCTTTTTACACAAGATAGCATAATTTCCATTACATTCATTTGAAGCTATCCATAATCTGCAGCAGAAGTGAGCATCCACATCTGATGCAGATGTGTGCGCCTTGGCCCCTTTTAAACTGCAGAGCAATATATTTTTCCCACTTATGTAGGCACCAGGTACTGTATATTCAGGGAAGGAACAGCTGGGTGGAGATAACTACTGTCCTGAAGCCATGTGTTATGCAGACAGTAGGCCAGGGATTCACAATGTGAGGACATAAGCAGATAAATTAAGCTGATAAACCAAACTCATGCTTGTCCCTGCCTGGATTTCCTCCCACCCCTACTGCTCATCCCCCGTGTAAGGAGGTGTAAGCACTTTAATATATAAATTGGTTTTTGAAATTGAGTGCACTCGCATCACAAAAGTTATGGAGGGGTGCCTTGAATCCAAAAAGTTGAAGAACCACTTCAGTAAGTAATTGCGAAAGTCTTACCTAGGATCTGGCATTTGGTGCAGGCCTGGGTTTCTAGTTGTTACCAGGCTTTTAATTTTTTTTATTTATGGGTTTTTTTTAAGCATGGTTATTTGGAAAGCTGTCTGCTCTGAATGTGCACACATCTCCCTGTAGCCCATCCTAGTTGGCTGCAGCCTGCCTGAGGCCTTGGTTCTGTATGTGTATTGGAACTGGAACATTGACACTAAAGTAAATGCAAGTCTCTCTCTTTCAGATCTGTGCCTTTCCATTTCATTTATGTTCTCTTTGTCATCAGCAGGATCTCACTGTTGTGTGATGACAGTGTCGCAATACCTTAACGCAAGATTGTACAAGGGACAGGGACACTGCTGTTCTCTTAGCATCCTAGCAGTATGCAAGCATGTCCATTAGGGGTGTGCGAAGCGGGCCCTATTCGATTCGGATTTGGCCCAAATCAGGGACAGTATTCAATTTGTTGATTCGGATCACTGTCCCTGATCCGATTCGACTGAATCCGAATCTAAAGATTCGATGCTGATTCGGACATAGACACAGCTTTAAAAGTTTTTTCTACATACCTTGAGGTAGCAGGCACGACTCGTGAGTGCTGCAATGCTGGGGCAGATGGAGTGTCCCACATGAGTGTGGGGGGGCCCTCCACATGCTCGGCAGAGAACCCAGAAGTGGACCGGAAGTACTTCCGGGTCTGCCAGGGAGCACACTGGGGGACCCCCCGCCACACCTCCCCAGCTTGGCTATTAGCTGTGGGGGGACCTCGGGTGCCCCCCTCCAGGCCCAGGAGGCACCAGTCACCGAGCCAGGGGGGCTCCCCGGCAGACCTGGAAGCAGACCGAAAGTGCTTCTGGTCCAGTTCCGGGTCTGCTGCCAAGTGTGCTGGGGAGCTCCCTGTGCTTCTGTGGGACGCTCCATGTGCCCCAGCATCACAGCACTCACAAAGTGCCTTGCAGCACTGCTACCTAGAGGTATGTAGAAAAAACATTTCAAGCTGTCTCTATGTCCAAATCAATTTGGAGGGTTTCGATTCAATTCAGAGAGATTAAAGGGTTCTCTGATTCTATTTGGATTTGGAGATTCGGCTACCGAATCTCTGCCGAATCGAGTCAGGGGCCGAAGCTTCGCACAGCCCTAATGTGCATGTACCAACACTTGTCAGTTTAGATAATTTTTGACAGGGTTCTGATACAACCTAGCTAATGAGTGTGAATGCTCATAATAAAGTGCCATCTTAGCCTGAATGGATGAGGGACTGACTATGACACACTTCCTAAAATAGGATATTACCTCCTTGGGATTTCAACATGGTTTTTTTCCAGTTCTGTAGCATGCGTTCACTGGGGTGTGTTTTAAAGGCCGTTGTTCAACTTCTGATATTCATGCATAAGCTATGCTTGTTCACATACTAGCTGTCTGCTAAATCCTTTGCAAATCCCACTAATTTTCTCCGTGCACCAAATGCAGAAATTGCATGGAAAGCATAAATTACTCAGATTTGGCCCCTGGTATCTGAAGTTCACTGATGCATGCAATTAAGTGTACTGGTGGATATTAAAGACGGTTAAGCAGAAGTAGCTGCTTTGCAGGTTGTAATAAACAAATACATGAAGCTTGAAGGCAGGGATTTCTTAGGGTGATATAATTCTTTTATTGGACCAACTATGTAGTTGGGATAGTTAGACAAGCTTTTGAATGCAAGACATTCTTCATTCTTCTTGCAGCTGTTCCCCTCCCTGCTTACCCCTTGCTCAGCATCCTTGCCCTTTCCTTCTTGATAGAATAATGTGCTGACCTCTTGTAATGTATTTCTTGGACTTGGTAGTAGTGGCTAATCTCTAAAAGAGGCTCTGATTCTTAGTCATATTTTGCCACTGGAACTTGGGGTGGAAAAAAACCCCAACACATGCTGCTTTTGTGCTGTCATAAGAATGCCATCCCTGTATGAATAATGGATGATATTCAGCTAATGCAGAAATGCTCAGACCTAACCTGGCAACCAGTGTTAACCAGCAAGCTTGAAGCCATTGTCATTTATCTGTTCTTCAGCACTGTTTAGGATTGTCTTGCAAGATTTAGGATTAAATGTCTTTGTTCCCTTACTTGCACCAAAGGAATTTATTTAGCAGCTTCATTGTATTTAGCATTGAATTAAGGCATGGGGATCCAAAGTGCAAGTTGCTATAGTTATCCTCATATTTAATGCAAAGGGGCAGCCCTCTGCCCGTAAAACTCTCTACATGCAGTGCTCCCTCCTTGTCTTCATTTTATGCAAGTGTAGTCCTTCAGCACTTGAGAGGTTTGCAAATGCAGCTTCTTTCTGGAAAAAGGCTAGCTGCTCCCACTAATAGAGCTTCCTTCAGTGGCTCATGCTACTTAAATTAATTTGTATTAGCTTTCCAGTGGATGCTTTCCATTCATGGCCCCATGTCATCATGCACTTGCATAGGGAGGGATATTAGGTTGTTCAAATTTGTAGGAAGAATAGAGGCTTTTTAAGCTGCCTTGACCACAGGCTGGGATTCTTCACTCTAGAATTCAAGACCTGTTCTTGCAGCTGTTCCTCGCCCTGCTTACCCCATGCTCATAATCCTTGCCCTTTCTTTCATGATAGAGAAATGCGCCAACCGCATGTAATGCATTTCTTGGGCCTGGTAGTAGTAGCTAGTCTCTAAAAGAGACTCTGGTTCTTAGTCCCTTCTTGCCACTGGAATTTAGCAAAAAAACCCAGCACATGCTGCTTTTGTGCAAAATGCGTTTGATGAGCTTTAGTTAAAATGTCCCCGCCACCTTTTTGAAACACAGGAACGCTGAATACATGTGACGTGGAGGCTGCTAGGGTGCGCTAATTAGCAGGCTTAGAGGTAATTAGCTCACATCAGAGCAGAGGTCCATCATGTGAATAGGTGCCCTATGTGTATGCTTGTTTTCATTCATGCAGGAAAAGCAAAAACACTTTCTTTTTTCAAAAGTCATAATCTGAGTATCATTCAGGGTGTATGTGTGCATGTGTATGTGCGTGTGCACATCTGTGCGTGGTTTGGCTCTTGCTGTTTTCCTTTGCTTTCTCTGCTGTCCTTCACTGTGCTGTATTTTTCTGTAGCAGCCATAACTGTTTTAATCTCATTTTAAGGCATATGTGGTTTTCTTTTGTCAGCTGAGGATGCCTTGTTTCTGTACACCTGCTGCTTGGGGTGCACTCTAAAGCAGCAGCATTCAGGTATAAATACAGAAGTGACTGGTTCACTGGGAATTGGATGGCTTAAAGCGGTGAGATTTATCTTGAGGCCCAAATTTAGCTTGCATGACTGAGAACATCTGCGTTATTATCTTTTGGGACTGGCACAGCCAACACACCAGTATGATTGGAGATGGCCAATTATGTAAGCAGAAGCTGCTATGATTCCGGGCAGCGGTGATAAGGAACCTAGAGGGTGTGCTGGAAGAACTGCAAGTGCTGTAATCTATTGGCATAGGGCAGCAGGATAGGAATGCAGCCAGGTGCCCAGGCAGCTGCCACACACAGGGACACTGCTGATTTCCATGGTATTTTTGCTCTTGTGGCTTGGGGCAGTTGTCCCTTTTGCCCCACCCTATTTAATACCAGAGGTGTATGGATAGGTTCTTGGGTAGAGTGAGCCAGTGATACAGAGTTTAAAGCGACATAAACTATGTACAGGTTTTAAATTTGCTTTGTTGGTCAAGATAGCGCTGCGCTGTGGAAGGGAAAGGACTTTGAAGTTTTTAAGGCCATAAAAAATTGTGTTTTCAATAGTAACTCTTTACACATTCTTTTCTATGCACAGCAGCTTTAGTTTGGTTGGGAGGTCATGTAAAGAGGAAGAGTTGCCAGGATTTTTAGTTGCCCTGGGGTTGCTTTCAGAGCCAGAGTCCCTGTGGGCAATGAGTCATTGATGTTAATTCTCACAATAAATCATAAGGAAAGTTCTAGGGCTGGAGAGAGGGATACCATATGTGGCTTGCAAGGACAGTAAACTGGCATGCAGCCTGCAAGAGAACATTGCTCCGGTGCTGGGAGGTGACCTTTGTTAGACTGATTAATATGGCTGCTGGAGTGGGTTCAGCCCCTAACAGATTGGATGGCGCCTGAGGTCTCTTCTTATATTTCAGTGTTGTCCAATTCTCTGTGTGTATTTCTGCTTCTCTCCATTTTGTTATCACTGTTGTTTTTTTTAAATTGCTTGTGAATTAAATTCACATTTTGCGTCCTTTTATATACTTGGTCTGTTCTGTCTCTGTCCATCCCATGTTACTCTTTGCAGAATCTCCATCAACTCAAACAGATTCAAACTCTGAGGGAGATGAATGAGCAGCTGCTGGCTGAAAACAGGGCCTTGACCCGGGTCGTAGCCAGGCTCTCTGCATCCACCAGTCCCCCAGAATCAGAGGAGCTATAGCTTCTTTCGCCTCCTCCTTCCACTCTTCCAGGCAGGTCTTTGCTTGTATTGTCTGAGCTGCCCTTGAGCCCCTTTGCTCCACTTTAAGTGTCTGCTAAGGCTTGTGGCTTAAAGCATAGCATGTGGCAAGGGGGGAGGCTAAAGGATTCCCCAAACCCTGTTTGAATGCAAGGATTTAACTCAGCACTTGGATTATCTGGTCTTTGCTTTGCTTTGCTTTGCGTTAGAACTGCTGGCCTCATCACTTGAACTGCTTACATTCCTAGGGATGAGTTTTCCTTGTGTGGGCTTGGAAACCGAGAACACCATCCTCTGTAAATAAGAGACTTGTTCTCCAACTGTAACTTCCCTCCTGGAGACTGTGCTGAACAGAGGGAACAGTAAAGGTTGGAATGGATGACAAATGGTTACTAACATTTAGAAAATCCTTCCGGATCCTCCCTTGTGATTATTAATACTGATAAATGGGCATGTATGTGGCTCGTATTCTATATTCCAGATAAATGGTTATGTATGTGGCTCATATTTTGTATTCCAGTGAGCTGGCCAGCATCATCCATTATATGATCAGAAAACTGGAGTATTATTGCAGCATGTAATTGATCACAACAGCCTCCAATTAGTCATTCCTTTTTTAATCTCAGAATAGTTGCATCAGAAGTCAGTAGCTGGCAACTAATTTTGACACTAAGATTATCGAAAATCAGAGTTAATATTGCTGTAGGGATATTATATAAATACATTTCATATTTTAAGAAAGCAAGATTTTTATGAGAGTCTGGCACTGAAGAACTTTCAACTGACTTTAAAATTACTTTCTAAAAGAAACAATTTGAAGAAAATCTTGACTGTGATCTTGGATGCTGCAATAAAGTATGGTAAATCCAAAGCAATCCAGCTAAGCATGTAAATAAGCAGGCCACATGCATGATGCATTTGCTTTTTTCCATCTTTGTATGTTAAAAGTATGGCAGAGCAATTACGGAAGTTCGGAAGTCCAAAGATTCTCTCTCTTTATAACCTTTTGCACATCACCTGCCATGCAATTAAGTCTCATTGTCTTTTTCTTGTTCAGTCTTAATATAAGAACTAAAAATGGAAATCCTAACTAGGGCACCTCCCTTTCCCATTTAAGCCCTCTGTCGCTCTTCTCTCAAGTTAGTTTGGAGCAACTTGGATTTGTTCAAGCACAGCAGTTTTACAAGAGGATTGAAGAAGCGGTATTCCTTCCGCCTGAAGTCAGAAGACTTACTCTTAGAAATAAGGCAACAGTTTAATAGAGGGCATGAGTAACCACATGAACAGCCTGCTCAGGAAAGCCTGGTGAAGTCTCCATTTCTTGAAATCTTCAAATCAAGAGTGGATATCTTTCCAAAAACCATGAGTTACTCACATGAGTGTTTGGGCTCAATACAAGAGTAACTGACTAAAACTTTGTGGCTTGTATTATGCAGAAGGCAAACAAGGTGATTTATGGTCCCTTCTGGCTTTACAATCCCTGGCTTTAAAATATCTGATTTGGACCTGTTTGTTGCTTTAAGCAAACAAAGTTCCTTGGGTATACTTTAAGCAAGGAGTTTAACTTCTGTGCCTGTGTTCCCCATCTGGGAAATGGTGGTTGTTCCCCTTGTAAAATGCTTGGATCCTTGTGAATGAAAATTGACTGAAGGATTGTCATACATAATGCATCACAGTAGCAGGTCCTCTTCAAGGGGGCTTGTTTTCAGAAATCCTCATCTTTTTTCTTTCTAGTTGTTCCTTCACCTATGTTATGTACAAGAGACAAAACCAGATGTTTGTAAAGTAATACATGCAGGACTTTAGCAGATGAGATTTATTTTGATTTCTTATGTAAGATTTTCATAAACATCACTACAACTGAAGCCCTGAGGGCTGAACTGGAATTCAGTGTTGGTTCAACTCTTATCACTTTCAGTAGTGTATTTACCATAAAAGCACTCAATTGAAGCCTTCCACGTTTCACCTTGATGTATAAGATTTACCCTAGACCAGCGGTGCTCAGCCTTTTAGGCCTTACTGGCTGAATGAGTCGCACAGGCCCAGTATGCAGCCCAGATCCTGGCATCAGAGCCTGGATTGGGCCCCACATTGCCTGGCTAGGGACAGACACTACACACAAACTGGTTTAAGTGATCATAAACTGGTTTAAACCTGTAACAGAACAGATGTTCAGTGCACATAAACCAGTTTGAAAATGGCTGAAACCAGTTTGAGATAAACCTGGTTGAATGTAGTATCAGACTTATGCAATGTCTGTCCCAGACCCCTTCTTGTTCTAAGTGAAGTCAGAGTCCCCCAGAATCCCAGATGCTTTACAACCCTGGGCAGGGCTCTGCTCCAGCCCAAAAGGGCTGGCTCCTCCTCTCCACTCCCTGTCTGGAGCTCTTGCAGAGACTGCAGCTACAGGGCATCTCCCTGGCTTGCTCCTTCCCCCCCCCCCTGCTCTTCCCCCACCTGCAACACTGCGCTCAAGCAGGAATTTCCCCCCTCCCCTCTGCCTTATACAGACACCTCTCAGCATTAGCTAGCATACCACGTGCTGGCTACAGTCTGTACTGTGGGAGACAGGACAAAGGCAGACAACACAATATCTCCTTAGGGCTTTTTGGAGCTAATCAACAGGTAGCTGGTAATGTCCCCCTTCCTTGGAAAAAGTTGTTTAAGAAGTGCTTAAACTAATGAGAGATCCTTTTATTTTCTTAATGGACTGATAAACACTGAGTTAGGGGTGATAAACACTGTGTTATCAACTCCCTGGTAGGCTGCTCAGGAGAGGGGGAACCCCTCCCTAATCAGAGTGCCCTGCTGGGGCCTGGCTATGCCCCCCTCATCTCAGCATTGTTGAAGGGAAGGGAGGGCTGCTGTAGTGCCCCCCGGCTTGTAGCCTGAGCCACTGCAGGCATGTGCCTGCATTTTTTCAGTCTAGAGGGGATGTCTGCACGGTTACAAACCAGTTCAGCTTAGCCAGGTTAGACTAACCTGCAAAGATTGAAACAATTCAGGCTCAGACTTTTTGAATGTCTGTCTCTAGCCCCTCTGTCCAGCCATGGCTGGATCAGGCCTCACACCACCTGAGCCTGTCCCTATGCTGTCAGCCCTGTGGGGCCTTAGGCCCCAGATGCCTGATCTACCATGCAGGGCCATGCTATCCAGCCCATGGAACTCCCCACAGGACCAGAAATTTGGCAGCAGGGGAGCAGCAGCTAAGACTGTCCAGCTCCCTTTCTATCAAATTGTCAGACCCTTGGGGAGCCTGGCAGGCCAGATGACACTGCTCCACAGGCCAGATCTGGCCCTTGGACCTGGAAGTTGAATACCCCTGCGGTAGACTTAGTCAGATTTTGTTCTGTTTTCAGTAGCTACTGCAGAAGGGAATGACTTCTTGCTGAAGTTGTGATACTTCTTAGAAGTGTCTACATTGTTGTTGGCTTAATAACAATGAGGGTGGCCAACCAGCAACACACGTGACACAAGTGGCCTCTGAATGTGGCATATGGCAGATGGGGAAGGAGACAGACAGCACAGAAGCTAATAGAGCAGGAAGCAAAAGATACAGCAGCAGACTGGGTTGGGGCATAGGGCAGGGAGCAGAAAGCAGAGCAGTTGATTGGGCAGGGGAAGGGCATCAGAGAGGCAGTTAGGAACGGTGCCTGACTAATTTATGGCATGCCTGTCAAAAAGGCTGGCCCTCGCTGGGTTAGCTCTTTACTGTTGTAATAAATTGCCAGAATTTCTGAGGATGCTTGTTCTTAAAACATGGCCAAGATCTGATTTTCCAATAAAAAATAAAGATTGGGACACTGGTCTGTAACCTCTTAGCTGCTTACCATTCCCCATGACCACTTCCAAAATCAGAAGACGAACTGCAGAACTCCAGATGGCCGTTGTAATAGAGCAAAGGGACTTGCTTGAGACTCCAGAACATGCCAAATTGAAATATAGAAAGGACCCAGACTTGTGGAAAGCTCTGCTTTTCTGCAAAATTGAATCGCAGCGCACAGTCAAGGTCTGATATGCTATTACTGTTTTTTGAGTTAGGAATTAGTGTATGTGCTATATGTGAATTGGAAGATAGAAGGGAGAGTTGCAGTCATCCAAAATGGGGAAAGCATTTTGTATGTGGTTTGTTGGATTATGGTTATGCACCGTATATTCTGTCCATCTAAATGCAATGGCAAGTTGGCTTATTTTGTGACATAAGCCTGTATCTGATACTGGAAAACCACCTGTATTTAGAATAAAAATCCCTAAATAACTTCCCTTTTAGGTCTGCACAAATATAATGCCAACAACCATTTTACAAAAATCAACAAATAGCTACATCTCCCCTCCTTGGTACTTGTCCAGGTTACTTGTCGTCCTACCCCTCTGCACCATACAAAATGTGATGCCTTTGTCTCTGATTATGTGCAGTGAGTCAGATGGAAGCCTGTAGGCAGGAATGTTGGATGGGAATTGTACTGGGCTAGGCAGCTAATGTGGGCACTACAGGTTCTTGCTTGTTTGTTAATGGAGGGAATAGTTTAATGGACATAGTGTGTGCTAGTGTTTCCCTTTTGGGAGTTGTCTGATTGCAGTAATTTTAATCTAAATGTCGTAATGAGGAAATAGGGCTCTGTTTATTCCAGTAGCCTGTAGTCTGATTTAAGTTCTCATGCTTTGTGGAGGTGGAAGGAGGAGGCGAGGCCATAAGGAGAAAATGAATTTGTGGCTGTAGGTTGAAATAGCTGGGTGAGAACTCACCTAATGAATTCCTGGTTTCTCAGGCATGGGCTGCAGGTATCTGCAGTTAATTAAATTCAGCTGCATTTTACAAAAGGCTGTTTTGCTTGGGGAAATTTTCCAGGATTTTAAAGTGCATATCAACATTGATAGGTAACAGTAGTAGTAGAGTGCAAGGATAATTTTTCTTCCCTCCCACAGGCTACTTTCACTTTACCTAGTTTTCCACAGATTGCAGCAAACATGAGTTCAGCTATCACAGCCTAGTCCACAATAAGGCTATCAGCTAGTTTTTGTGTTATTTTGTTTTGTTTATAATGCACTCTAGTATATGTGAAGCTAAGCTCTTTCCTGCCACTCACTCGTGGGGTGCAAATTGCTGTAACCAAGACTCTCTTAACTTGGACATTAAAAGGTAACCTGTAAAGGCTGGGGGATAGTGTTTGCTTTTACTTAAGAGTGATGCAGAAAAGTACTGGAAGGGCTTCCCAAAGAGGTTTCTTTTGCACTTCAGTATTTGATTTGAGGGCTGGGTCAGCTACCTCAAGACAGGAAAGAACTCGTGGTTTGAAAATCAGTTTAATTCTAATGACTAAATGCTGCAGCAGATAACTTCTCTCTGTATGTATTTTTCTCTTACTCCTTTAGATGTTACAAGTGTTTTATCAGTACACTTCTAATATTGTTTTTTTTAATTGGTCTTTTTGCTGTCGGTGCTCACTAGCTACTGGCATTTGACTCAGCATCTATTGGTCTAGCTTTAAAGTCTTTCTTGCCCTCCTAAGCCTTACCCCTGTCTGCACTGCTTAAGGCTGTGGTGTGTCATGGTAGGAAACAGCTGTTTCCCACACTGAACCATCCCTCTTAGGGTTGTTTGCTTTTTTGCTGCTCTAATGTTATTCCACCTACCTCCCTACTTGTTCAAGTAGTCAAGTTCCACCTGTTCAAATAGTTTGAACGGGCCGATGTTTCAGAAGTCTCGAAGGGTTATGAAGAAATTGCAAAGGATTTTGGAAACTCATTGAAAGTTATAAATATGTTGAATTCAACTAACTTGCAGTGGAGGAGACATACAGTGAGGGAAAGTACTGTAAGTGTACTTGCTGTTAGTTCAACTTTGAGAAGACTGAGCTGAGCCCCGCTTAGCCCCTGTGACCTGTGAGGCTTTTGTAGTAGTGATCATGAGTGGCATAAATCCTGCCCTGTTTATGTCTTTGCAGGTTTTAACAGAGCTGAAGTCAGATAATCAAAGGCTGAAAGATGAAAATGGAGCGCTCATCCGTGTCATCAGCAAACTCTCCAAATAGGAAATTTGATCAAAGGAAGGAGGAAGGGGGTGTCTCTGCACAAGCTGCCAACCCTGCCACTAACCTGTTCAACACCTCTTGCCCTCCAAGCAGAAGTACTGCAAGCATTGCAGATATGGGATCAACTTGTCACCTCCCTCTGCTCCTCCCACCACAGTACATTCCCTCATTGCCCACTAAAGGCACCCCCAGCTGTTTTATTATTTTTAATTTAAGCATGTTGTGATATTTTGGACATTTTATTCAAGAGGGAAAAAAACCTGAGGATTAGGTTTGAGCTGTCAAGACTGGGCTTGTGGCACGAAGTCGTGTTTAAAGTTGACTCCAGTCTGGAGTAAAGAATCAATCTACTGTAATAAACAATGCAGAAATGAATAGGGAACTGATCCAGCATGCCCAAGCCCTCTTTAGGTGGTTGGGGGGTGGAGGTGGGAAGCACGAGCAAGAGCACTGAAGTGTCGGCCTCCCCACTTGGAGTTTGGGAATCTGGTTAAATGGTGATGCTGTGAAAGCCATGAGGGCTCATTTCTGTGACAGACTGACAACAGCTGCTTTGCACAGAGAATCTGTTCTCCTCCTGTTCGAGTAGCTGAGTCTCTCCTTATTTAATGTAAGATTTTAAATCATTTTGGTAACTTCATTTCTGAACCCTACCTTTTGGATCCCCCTTTCCCTGCCAAACCTGTGCAGCCTGGGTGGTGATAATGCATCACTCTGTACTCCTTCCAGGATAACTATCTCAGTTACTGGCCAGGTAATGGCATTGCTAATTAAATCTTGACCCTTGCCTTTTGGGATAGGATTTATCACTGGTAAAAGCCTCCAAAGGAGAAGCTGCGCCAGCAGAGATCACCTGCTATATTTACACGTGTATGTAACATCTGGGTGTGAATATCCATACAGTGAGGTATGCACATACAAGTAAGCAGTCCCTTTTTTCCAAGAGCAACATGGAGCATTTTTCTACTAACCTACTATGAGAGGAGCACACTAAGCAGATCTTTCATGTCACTGTCAGCAGGAGCAAAAGCAAATGAAAATGCAGCAGTAGTCTGAGTTGGGCTTAAAGGGAGTTAGGTGGGAGAAGAGGTGTGTGCAAGGGAGATATCAAGAGGATGGTGGAAGCTCCTGATGCAGCTGTTTCCGGCTGCCTGAAACAGTGACCAATTGTCCTGCTGTAGATCATGGAAGGGTATAATTATAATTTATTTAATAGGAGCAAGAATGAGTCTGTGCTCAGTGCATACTGATAACTGAATCTGTGGAGTGATTTTTTTTTATTGCTGGAAGCTAGTAACTGGATTTGACCTTGATGGAAAACCTCAAAGGGCTCTTTCATGTTATAAGTACTTAAAACAGATTGAAAGTGTTCTCTCTCATGGGCATTCGGAAAGCAGCTCCTCCAGATGCTAGATGCTTTTGATTCTTTGCTTTTCTTGGAAGCTGGGTTATAACAAGTCAACACATTTGCTGAGCTTTGCGTAGAAGGGCTTCTTGCAAAGGCACACTCTGCCAGTGCTAGGGCAGTTGTAGCACTTTTCTGTATTCCAGGTCATGTGCTTTTTGACTGACTTCCAGCTTTTTCCTTCTTACTTCTACACGTTCCAGTTCTCTTCCAAAGTTTGTGCTCAGACTTCTGATGCTCAGACTTCAGTAGCTGTTGGTTTCAGATGGTTTCTTCTGGTCTCCTCCATTGTATATTTTTGTATCGGAACTTTTTCAAACTTTATGTCTACGTTGCATTACATCTACATCCTTTCTGCTGAACACAACTAAACACGACTTACCGTGGACTCTGTTTGGGCCCCTACTTGGTTGTCCAAGTAGTCACTTTTGCTTCAAAAGAGAGAATTTTTTTCTTTTTATACTTGGAGAAATTCCCTCTGCAACATGGATCTGGGAAAGAAGGGGCCAAATTAATTATAGCATTCACATCTTCTACAACGCACTGGCTCCAGCAAGCACCTAGACTTTCCTTGTATTCCTTCTGAGAACTGAGAGCCTTGGGAATTGAAATGGGTCAATGCTTGTAGCCTCATACTTCATCCATGTGCTGCTCTCTTTGTGTAAGTACTTGATCTGTCTTTCATCTTGTGGTACACTTCTTTTGGACGCTTCTCAATTCAGATTTGAATATCTCTTGAGTCTAGATGTGTCAAGAGTCTGGTAACTTCCTATGTTGTATAGGTTTCATGCCTGTCAGAAGCCACTGATATTGGTGTGAAGGATGTTTTCCATCTGATATGCTAGTATGTGAGCATCTGATCAGCACACATCCTACTGTACGAGGGTTGGGATCTCAAATTGTTAGTCGCTCTTCTTTTGACAAGAAGAGTGCCAAGAAGTGTGGAAAATCCTGATGTATCTAGCCCCTTCTGCAGTATTCATTCTGCACTAGGATTTTAGCCACTATCTACTTGGAGCATTACATAACACTGTAGGTTGAAGGAATATCTCCTTAGCATATTTGCTCCTCAAGAAAAACCTGTAAAGGATAATAAGGGATGCAAAAAGCATGATTCTATTGTGTTAACATGTGAAGCCAAGACACTTTCAGTTAAGTGTCTGTTTAGCACTGGGTTTTACCATCCTAACGTCTGGGGGTGGAACTCGCATCAGTAGCTTAGCTCTGTTGACTAGCCAGAACTGAGAGTATTTTATTGTTGCGCAGTGCTGACGAAAACCAACTTCTTCAGAGTTCCTTGGGTTTAACAAACCACTCCTGACTTTACCATTGGATTAAAGAGAGAAGGTGCAGGACACCTGGCTTTCTACACGCGAGACTTTCAGTGGTGAAAAGCAGTTGTTTTGAAAAAATGTGTCTATTTTAATCATAACATCATCTCTTGGAAAGTACTAAAACTTTATTCCAAGCAATTGCTTGGGGACCCATTTTTATCCAAAGAACTTATTGCAGCTGCAAGAGATAGAAATATGCTTAATTTATAGAGCATGTCCTCCTGATAAGTTAAGGATCATTTCTCCAAAATTGGTAGAATTCAGGGCAATCTTTTTTCCTCTACTGGGTAACATGTTTCCATTTTGGTATGCGAAGGTTGGACTTCTAGCCTCCTAGGAGATCATACTATATACAAAGATGACATAGTTGCAGTGATTCCTAGAATCGTCAGTCAGACTCTATAAGGAGGGAAACATGGAAGTCAGGGTGTCAGTGTGCGTGCACATGTGTGCGGCACGCACACACAGGAACTGTGAAGATTACAGGGTCTGTATGTAAAAAATCTGTTAAATCAAGAAAGAAGCCCTTTGCTTTTTACAACTACATTCCTACCCATACAAGGCTAAAAGAAACAGCCCATTCAAAGCTGTACTTTAGAAATGCTCTTACACCTCTAAGTGCTTGCTGATCTTTTCTCCTCTTAGTCTCCTGCTGTAGGGTCTAAACCATGCCAACTTTGACTGACTTTATGGTAAGGGTAAGAAAGGGCCACACATACTAACCCAGAACGAGGAAGAAATGTGTTTTAGTGTGGACTTGGTTTCAGGTTCGTTGCTCAAATTGTGAAACGAGTTGTTGAGATGGGAACAGGTCTGTTTGGTATGGGTGAAGCTGAAGGCTTGCTAAGAGATGTATCACGGTTGTCAGAGCTTACAAAAATGTGCTCTGCATGCAGGGAATGTCTTGCAAGCTGTCATAGTAGGAAGGTGCATCTATGTGATGAGCTCAATTGGCTGGAGATTAAACTGACTTCTCTCACATTAAACTAAATGTTAATGGACTACAGGTAATAATGGATTTACCTCTGAAAAGTAAAAGAAATGGAGGCTTTTAAAGAAATGGAGGCAAAGCTGAGACATCTGTATAGGACTGACATATTCAGTGTGACTAGGGTTCTGTTGCACAAAATAACTGAAGATTTTATCTTGGGAATGTGAGGCAGTAGTGAGAGCTACTCACTATCAATATTGATCCACTGTCAGTTGAATTAGTTGCTCATTAGTCTAGAGAACAGGCAAGCCATGCTTCAGTCATTCAGAGAGCAGCCTATCTGCAGCGGTGCCTATTTTTATAAGTGTAGTGTGTGTGTGAGAGAGTTTTGACCCTCAATAAGTCAGCCATGCAGGTTTTGGATTGGTTATTATGTCTTTGATATAACTGTATAGCACTTCCTTTGCACTGTTAAGTGCTTCAGGGTTTATGCTGTCAGGGGCTTTTATCACCAAGACCATCAATCATGGTAATACTATAGGATATGGCCCTAATTGCCAATAAATCATTGATAAAGTGCATGCAACTCAGTGATTGTACTAGGTTTTTAAACTGTGGTGTTTCCATTGATAAAAGGTTAGTTTGGTCCTAATCTTATTTGAAGGGACCTGATTTGGAAGGATTGTGTCTTGTAAATGTCTCAGAAGAAAAGATAACCTCTTGGGCAAATTCAGCTAATCCAGTGTAGTGAACTAATGTGCTTGAGTGTAGCTGGCAGGAAGCAACTTAGATTGTTTTCAAAGCTGTTGTTAAATTAAAAAAAAAAAAAAAAAAGAAAAAAAATATCAATCAATCCATAACAGTTTTCTGCAGAGGAACAGATTATTCAGACCTGATCCTGTCCATCAAGCTTAGGTCCATGGAAGGTCACAAGAACTTCACCATATTATTTGCCTAGGGTAGGCTGAAAAGACCTTGTCACTGCTAGGGTGTACTCCTTGCTATCAGTCCTACCCAAGATGAGTGGGACTGATAACCTCAGCTTGCATCTTTGTCCTTTCTTGGGCTTGTTTCATTGATCCATCAGTGAGGTGAGGCTTCTAGCCTCCAAAGACAGTGGAGTCCCAGAACACATTTTGAAATACCAGTCGTTTTTACATATGCTTCAAGGCTTGTGGTCCTCTCCTGTTATCTTCCCTCCACGGTTCCTTGGGCACTTGCAGACATTTTGGGTTATTTATGTACTTCCTATGCTACTTTATCTCCCATGTATTCACAGCACTTACATTTCCTCTTGTCTTCTCTGAATGAACAGACAGCTCATAGGTTGTAAGTGGCCGTTGCAAGGATAAACAGAGCAAATTTGCAGGAAGCTGGTAAGGGCATTGTTTCCATGACCTTCCTTGAAGATCTAAAACTAGGTGTGGGATCCTTTAACACCAAATGAAACTGAGAGCTGGTTAGGAAAATGTGCCCCTTTGGAAGAGGAGTCTGTTGTCCTATATAGTCCTTCCCATCTGTAGAGCCATGGGCATTGGGACGTAGGATTCCTTAGCAATAGCCTGCTGAAGAAATGCCCCCCTTTGCTAGAAAATGACCACACCAAAAAAAGAAGCACCTGCTCTGTTGCCTAGACTTGGCCAGAGCTCATTTCTGAAGGAGGAGGAAGCTGGCTAGAGCTTCCAGACTAGAGTCATCCTGGAGTAAACAGGCCTGGTAGCACCTGATTGCTCCCGGTGAGTGGAAACTGTCTGCCAGCAACGCACTTATGTGGCCATTCATGAGAATGATTGTTAGTGCTGAACTGTAGGCACTTCTCCCAGAAGGAGGAGAACAGTTGACATTTCACTAGTGACAGCTGCAGTCTCTGAGGCAGGAGGTCTGGTGCAGCCGTTCTACATTGCTTGCTTTCGTGCTTGTACATGTTGCTGTAGATTCCCTTTTTCTACACATTCATCTTGGTTATTCCTTTTTCAGTTAGATTGTTATCATGCCGCCCTACCAGAAACACGGAACAGTTGTTAAATTTACGCGTGAATCCTTTTATCTTTCTTCTTTAGTTGCCATCTTCAAAGATAGTTGTTGTAGGAAGTCAGGTAACTTTTAGGTCAGGAGCAAAATGTGTTTTAAAGGTCTTGGAAAGTGCTGGTGTTTCTGGTACGGAGCAAGTCCACAGTTTCGTTTTTCTGAGGAGCTGTTGAGGTCACTCCAGGGCCTGTAGTTCAATCCCTGTCCTCTGCGAGACTCCTGGAGTCGCCAGCTCCAGCAGCGTTCCACAGAGAGCTCGGAGGCTGTGCCTGACATTCAGACCAGCTCTGGGGTCAGTGCTTCCTTCTCCCTCTCTTTCTCCTGAAAACAAATTTCTCATTTCTGCTTGGGGTGAGTATTGGTTACTTCAGGGCTGTCCAACTTCTGGGCAGCCAGGGGCTGCACACAGTACACGCTGCAGATCCAGGGGTCACAGGCCACACAGGCAAGTAGTCCCCACCCTGGGCTCCACCCTGTCTTGTGCGCAGCCCCCAGCTAGGAAAAACAAAAAGCTGCTTTGCTACTTCAGAGAGTACCTGGGGCAACAATCTGGATGCAGCAGAGCAAAGTTGCCCTGTTTCCCTTTGCTTTTCATAGGAAATGCAGACTCTTTCCAGGAAATGCCCTTACATCTTGATTGCTAATCTTGGAAGAGATGGATTGACTCTGCTGGTGGTGTCCCACCTCTCCAAGCAGTAGGTATGCTGTACTTACCTGGTTTAAGGAGTTTCATGGCTCTTTGTAAATACACAACTCAGAGAAAGCAGGACTAGCTTAGGAACTGGGGGGGAAGAATGTATTTTTATGCAACTTTGAGTGGCCTTTCAAACCCCGAGATGAATGATTTGTTTTACTGGGTGTTGTTATATAGTTATAAGTATTATGTGTTTGAAAGTTTGGGAATAATATTCACATCTATATGATGCTTGTAAACACAACAGTATTTATAAATGAATAAAACAAAACTGTGTTTTAACTTTGCCTCTGATTTTTGTTTTAATAAGAGCAAAGTGATTAATTCTGATGTGAGATGGATGTGGTGATGATTTCTCCCAGAATCAACTAAACAGATTAGATCAAACTTTGAGTTGGGTCTTTCCTTTTTGCTCAACCTGTTACTTCAACAAGGAATTTAAAAGCACAGAAGACCTAAGCTGAGCCTTTATTAATTCCTTGTGTCTCGCTTTTCAGACACTAGTCTGCTTGTTTTGCATTAGAAATACCTGGTCCTGACTCGGGGAAAACGGCAAAAGTGCTGTTCTGGTTTCTGTCCATTGTGATCTCACTAGGAGAAACTGCTTAGTGACCCTGGATCAAATTAGCCAACCCAGTGCCAGTAAAAATTAATCCATTTATATTTCTAGAAGGCGGTTGTAGCATATGATGATAGTTGAGTAACATTCTAGTCCAGTCCTTCAGCAAAAAACTGAAGATGAGACTTCAATACTCTTCACATTTATATGGTTTAAATAAGTCTTAAAACCAAAGGCCCTTGAAACTCACTTGATCATATGATCATATAGCAGCAGCAAAGGATACCAGGCAGCAGGTCACCTTCAAAAGTAGACATGGAAATGAGCTATGCACCAAAAGCAATTTTTAGGTCTTCTGCAAAGCAGCTGTACAGACCTTAAGTGCAAAGAGGGGAGGAGTAAGCAGTACTTTAACGTAAAGGGAAAATTAAACATAGAAGATGTGGAAATCCATCCCTTTAATTCTGTCTCGCTTAATTGTGGGCTCAGGTCTGAATTACAGGTCTGTTGGCCAGCAGAAAGGGAAAAGGTTTTTGAAGAGACAGATAAGTAAAATTTTAGTGATTGGTTTCTTGATTACAAAAAGAGATACAGTTAGTTGGTGAAGAATTCCCATGTTTGCATTAGCTCATGGCAGCATGGAGACCGCTCGTGGGCACCTTCCTCCTCTCCCCAGCATTGCAACAACCCCATGTGGATGCCCCCTACTGTGTGCTGTGCAGCCTGGCCTCACTCTGAACTCCTCACATCGTGGCATGTGGTGTTGCACAGCCCTCTGGGGCAGGTGCAGAGCAGAGAAACTGGAGGAGAGAGAGGGAGCCTGGAGACGCTGGCTCCAGCAGTGATAAAAAGGAGTGGCGGCCAGGTGGGAGCCTGGAGGCTGCAACTTAAGGTCTCATGGGCTGCCAGTTGGACAGCCCTGACAGCCCGTGAAAAGCAGGGTGGCCTTGCTCTTGCCTATTTATGCTGAGGTACACGTTTATGCTGAGATGCACATTTATGTTGAGGCACACTGAGGCCCAAGTTCCAACCTGCAAGTGCCAGTTGCATTGGGAAGTCTGTGCCACTTGCTGCTCCTGCCTCTCCCATGAACCTGGCAATGGAAGGGAAAATGTCAAGTTTTCTAATGGATCCAGGGCTCTCCTGCAAAAAAAAAAAAAAAAAGCTCTGCACCAAAAAATAAAATAAAATCCAAGCTGGCCCATCTTCAAGTGGCTCGGGGCACATCTGCAGTGTGGCAGCAGTGGGCCTATCCAGCTGGCCTATTCCTGAACACACCCTGCTCACAGGCTCCAAACCTGGAAATAAGCTTGTGAGGCTCGCCAGGACATCCCCCTGGGATGCATCTCAAATGTACCAAAAAGGAGCCTCTCGGGGTGAACTTGGAGCATCTTCACCAGCATATTTCTGTGACTGGAGCATGCCTGCAAGAGTGGGTGAATGGAGGTGTGCTGGCATGACTTGGAGGGGGCTTGCCAACCCTATAGTGTAGACATGTCCTTGGAGTCCTGAGCTTTGAGCCCCTGGTTTATGAACTCTCTTCAGTACCTTTAACAGCTCCTTTCCGGTACATGGGCTCTGACCCTGAGGCTATAAACTGACAAATGAAGCAGGTGGGCTGGGGAGGGGGGCAGAGGGAGGATGTGTCCCACCACAGCTTATTTGCTTCATTGTGTGAAACCTGCTTATCCCGTTGTCCTGCATTGGGCAGGGTCTCACTCCTGTGGGACAGTGGGCTATGTGTCCTGTGCTTAGAGATGCACCTAGGAGGTTCCCTGGGGCATGTCTCTGCAAATGGAAAATCCTAGCTTTTCCCTGCTACAGAGACATGCCTGGGGGAATGTCTGAGGCATGTATCTGTAAGGGGGGAAAGCCAGGGTGCCCTGCTTATGGAGATATGCCCTGGGGATTCCCTGGGACATGTCTCTGTAAGGGAGGAAAGCCAGGCAGCTGCTCCTGAGGCTCAAAGGGGCCCAATCCTACATGGAAATTCCTGGGGTGCAATGTTTTGGCCCCTCAAGCCCTTGGCACACCTGCCTGGAGTGGCCAGAGAGCACAGGAAGCTCTGGACTGTCTGCACCCTTGCTCCGTAAAGCTAACAGACACCTATTACAATAAAGCAGCAGGAACTATTGCCACTTTTGTTACGGCCACAAATTTTGGGCATTTGTGGCCTGACAAGGTATGGGCATATCTCTGGCCTTTTTGCTGCTATAAAAATGTATATGGCGGTATGAAAGCAATGTCTGAGTAGAGCAAGTGTGTCCGTACCAACATGCGCTGAATACACGTGATGCTGCAGTCACTTAAATTAGAACAGCTCCTGAGGGCCACTCGAATTAAAGTACCCCTCCAACCCGAAGCACATGTAAAGATGTCCCAAGGGTTTTTATTTGTCACGACTTGAATTGCTGAGCTGTTTAACCTACAGTTAGCGCTGGGGGCATTATAACAATCCATCCTGTTGACTCCTGGGGTTTCACTTGAGGAAGAAACCTGCTGCCTTAAGATCATGGTGTGGGGGGAGTCATACTCTGATGTGGCATCAGAGCTCCAGGGTCATGAATTCCTGAGCTACCCTTACCTGGATGTAGGTCTCCATGAAATGCATCTTGCAGTCCAGACCTGGAGTAGGCACCAGGTCTTGAACATCAGAAACTTGCATTCCATCCAGGGAGAGCACACCAATTGCAGGTGCTTCTTCAGCCTGACAAAGGGTATTTAAACCCGAAAGCTTGATAAGAAGAATTTTTCCAACTATTTGAGTTGGTCTAATAAAAGATATCAGATTTACTCAAAGAACCTTGTCTGCAAACAATAAAGGGACTTTTCCTTATTGTCTCTAGCTAGTGCATGTCTGAACCTGGTATCCCTCTGCAGGCATCGCTGTCCCTTCCTGGGACTGGGCTGAAGTTAAACAGGAAGGATTTTCTGGGGTGAGTGTCTCTGCTGTGTTAAACAGGAAGGATTTTCTGGGGTGAGTGTCTCTGCTGTGTAGCATTAACAACCTTTTATGAAAGCAGCCTGGAGCCTTGCTGAACAAGGGACATGTCTGGAGGAGAGATTCTTCTCTGCAAAATATGAGAAGAGAGCTCCTTGATGCGAGAGAGCCTCGAGCCTCTGTCCCTCCTCCCCTCCACCCCCCCCCTTATGGCTTTGGCCTGGCACTTTGGTAGTGGACATCCCTTACAAGAAAATGGGACACCTAGGCTTCCTGCTAGCTATGCTGTGGCTTTGTAGGGCATTGATTCTGTTCGTGGCCTAAATGCTGCAGGGCCACCATCCAAGTCAATGGAGCTTTGTAGACCTTCCTCCAGCAGGATTTGGACCTGCTAATTGCCCTATCATTTTCTCCCAGACCCAGCGGTCTGTTGCTTCCTTGTGCCACATACAGAGCCAGCACGGGCCCTGCTTCTGCTGCTAATACTGGAGTTTCTGGGCTCCCCTTCTTTCCTCTAGCTTCTGCTCCCTATTCCTGCCCCTGCCCCTGCGGGTGGGATGGCACAACATGGAGCTGAGGCCCCTGTTCCTGGGGAACTTGAGGGGGACCCAGAGATGTTGGTGCAGTGCAGCAGGGGTTGCCTGCCATATGATATGGGGTAGGGAGCCATATAGCATGGTGCAGTGGGGCGGGGGGGCACATGCAAAGTATGTGGCCTGGGAACCTATAGCACTTGGCCACACAAATTGGACATTCCTGGACTTAAGTGCAGGCCACAATGTGGCTGAACTTGCCATTCCTGTATGTGCCGAGCAAGAGGTGCCTGCCCCCATGGCTCCTATTCTAAGAGCCTTTGTGGAGGTGCTTCAATGTGGCAGCAGGGACCGTGGGTAGATGCACAGTTTTGTAAAAGGTGGTGGGAGCAATGACTGGGGGAGGGGGGGGGTGGCTGCATCCCTGCTCCCCCCACCCACCCACCCAAGGACAGGCAGACTGTGCTGTGGGAGCAGCAGCTGGGGATGTTAAGTCCCCCAGTCAGGGAAGAATCCTGCCCCAGCTCTCAGCACCCCCCGTCCATGCCCAGCAGCACATCCCCTCCTCTCTCACTTCACCCCTTCCTCTCCCTGCTGCTACCACTATCTCCAGCTCCCCTCCAGGTGTGAGGGGAGCTCCAAAGCTGCTTCTGCCATGCTCCAGCTGGACCGGGCAGGGAGATGGGCCCAGCTGGGAACAGTGGCAACAGCAGGTGGCTTCCTTCTCCCTGTGCCTGTGCTGGCTGGGGACACCTGGGGGTGTCAGACAGGAAGGGGGAACCTGCCTGCTGCTACCCCTGGCATTGCTAAGCCAGGCTTGCCTGGCAGTCTGGTTGGAGCAGGGTGTGAGCAGCTCTGGAGCTCCACCTGCCCACGGGGAAGTGGCAGCTGCGGGCATGGGAAGGGGGGGAATGGGACAGGAGGGGAATGTGCTGCTGAGGTCAGAGGGGAAGGGATGGGGGAGTCTTACCTGCTTCAGGGACTTGAGTCCCTGACTGCTGATCCTGTGGTGAGTTTGAAAGTGGGGGGGGGGCCCAACCATGGTGTCAAGACCCCTCTGCATCTGCCCCTGGCAGGCACTGAAGTGAAACTGCTTTCTGGATGCAGACCCTGCCCCTAAAGTCTATTGCTCTGGTAGGAAGGGCCTGAGCAGACGCGCTCTTGGCTGGGAAAGGAGGGCATGCTGGTTATTGCCTCTTCTGTGCTTGAGGCTGACTTCTACCCCCCCTGCAGGGAGCATTGCCAGCTGCC